CCTCACGCTTTTTGACTGTCTGTACTTAGCCTAATAGTTTTAAAAATGTTGCTATTGCAAATGTATTTATTTGTTCTATTTAGAGTCTTATGTACAGTGACTTTGATCTCAGATCAGTTCTTAGTGCATACCTCCCTCATCACAATAAGCAGAAATGGGCCATGCAGAAGTGGGAAGTTAGCATTAGCTGGGAGCATGTGATGGAGAACGATGAATGTAGTTGTAAGTAGGGGTGCACTGATATAGATTTTTTTAGGCCAGTACTGCTGGCTGATTTTTAAGGAGTCATATTGGCTGATACCAATCCAATTGCCAATATGAGACCCGGCAGCTTGGAGAGCAGTGTCTGGCTGATAGGTCTGTTGTGGGGGAAGGGGTGGGGGGAGGGAAACTTATAAGCTGGGAAACTCCCTTCTCGAGAACACGGAGGCAGAAAGAGATCTTGGAGTTATAATTGACTCCAAGATGAACATGGGCCAACAATGCAAGGTCACGGTCAGTAGGGCCCAACCGTACCTTGTCGTGCATCTACAGATGCATCTCAAGTAGGGCCAAGGAGGTGATCCTCACCCTCTATACGACACTGGTCAGGCTGCAGCTGGAGTACTGTGTTCAGTTCTGGGCACTGCACTTCAGGAGGGATGTGGACAGCATTGAGAGGGTTCAGAGGAGGGCAACCGACATGATCCAGGGACAGCAGGGCAGGCCCTATGAAGAGAGGCTACAGGACCTTACCCTGTTCACAAGAGAAGGCTGAGGGGGGACCTGGTGGCCATCTGTAAACTCACCAGGGGGGACCAGCAGGGTTTGGGAGAGACCCTGTTTCCCCTAGCACCCCCTGGGGTAACAAGGAATAACGGCCACAAATTTAGAGAGTAGGTTTAGACTAGAAATCCGAAGGCACTACTTCACTGTCAGGGCAGCTAGGATCTGGAATCAACTTCCAAGGGAAGTGGTGATGGTTCCTACCCTGGGAGTCTGGGGGTCCAGGAGGCTGGATGAACACCTCGCCAGGGTCATTTGACCCCAGTACTCTTTCCTGCCATGGCAGGGGGTCAGACTTGATGATCTGCTTAGGTCCCTTCCGACCCTACCTACTATGAATCTATGAATTCTATGAATCTATTAGGGAAAGGGTGTAGGGGGGCAGATCAAGGCCCCTGTGGTGAGGGAGAGAGTGGGGCTGGGGTAGGGGCAGGTGCTGCACAGCCGGGGTGGGGCACAGGATGGAGCTGTGAGCAGCTTGTCTGGGGGTGGATGGTGGTTCTTGCTGCTGTGCACACCCTGGGAGGGCATGGGGGGAGTGCCCCCGATATGCCTGCAGGGTGAGGGCAGGCTGCCACTGTGGGCTGGGGCTATACCAGGATCTTCCTGGCAGTGGGGTTGGCACACAGATTTGGGGGTATACCTCCCCCGGAGGTGTGTGCAGCAGCAGAAGCCATGTCCCCCCCACTCTAAATATGCTGCTTGTGGCTCTGTCCTGCACCCCAGCCCCAGCTCCACTCCCTCCCTCCCTCACTGCTTGGGTCTTGATCTGGCCCCCCTCCCATGCCTGTTCTCTCCCCCTGCCCCTTCCCCCACAACAGACTTACTAGCTGGACCTGGCTGTTCTCCATGGTGCCAGGCTATGCTCCTGGCTGCCTGTGTGCTGTGCTGTGGCTACAGCTGCGTGCATGCATGGGGGCATTTATTTACATTATCAGCCAAAAAAAGCCAATTGCTGATACTGTCAATTTTCCTTATATCAGTGCTGATCCGATGTGGAACTGAGATATTGGTGCACCTCTAGTTGTAAGGTGTTTCTACTTTGAGTCTCCTGTATTGCTTCTTTAGTGAATACCCCTAAGGGTTGCAAGTTGTTTCTAAGAAAACAAGAAGGCATGACTGTCATGTGCCTCCCGAGGCTGGGGGGGCATGGTGGCAGCAAGCAGAGAGCTCCCACAGGCAGCCATGGCTGTATTAGCAGTGAGGTTGGGGTGGTGACTGGCAACCACCCTCAGATGCTACTGGTGGCGGCGGCCAGCAGCAATTGGCGACTGCCCACAGATGTCACCGGTGGTGGCAGTGGCGAGGGACAGGGTGGCGAGCAGCGGCAGTGTTGGCCAATCTTAGGGGGTGCACCACAAATCTCTGGAGTTGCATGTGCACCTACATGCACCCCCAACACATTGCCAGTGCAAGAAGGAAAAGGTAAGGAGCTGTGACCCTGCTTTCCTCTCAGCACAGGCTCAAAGAGTAAGAAAGCTGTTTCTGCTTTAGATCTTCTGAACCTAAGTAGGAATGAAGGGCATGCTGGAGATCACAGTAACATCCTGAATAATCTTGCACAGTATGATGGTTTTAAACAACAAGCTGCCCTTCTCTAATGTAGCTGTTCCTCATGATGTTATCCCTTAATTGTGCTGAACTTGAAATCTTTTAAAAGATCTGACTATTCTGAAACACCTGTAACATGCTGAACCAGCAGTATAGTCACTTTCAGACACTTGGCTTTCTTTGTGCAAGGTTCCCACAATACATTTAACAGCTGCAGAATGGCAAATTTTGCTATTTTAAAGTCTTTTGCATCCATCATAATGAAATGTGATATTATTATAATATGCTTATATATATGGCGCAGGACAAAGGGTTCCAAAATGCTTTAAGTATGCTACAAAAATTTAAATGCAAAAATAAGCAGTGGTTGTGAGAGACTAACAAAGGATTTGGTATGCTAAGCTTTTTAAATGAATTATTTTGGAAGATCATACAAATCTAACTCTGACATCTAGAAAATATTATAGTTTCCTACATGCTAATCAGCATAGAGTGAGAGCATTAGCTAGGCTGTACACGGTCATGTTGTAGCTTTGGTGAATTAAATTCACTGATAGGAAACCTCAGTCCTTTACGTGGAAGGAGCAAAGTATTCTGTTTCTGTATTATTTGAACAGATTTACCATATGCACTTTCTTTGCCAGACTTCCTTTGCAACTGCTCTCCTGCTGCCATTTGTTAATATTCCATAGAACCCAATAGCACATGGTCATTGTTACTTTTGTTTGTTTTCAGTCATGTTCACAGTGGACACTTTTCAAACACAAAAGTAGATAGTCTTCCTGTCCTAAAAGAGAGATGGAGGGCTACGCCAATTAGCGTAGCCCTCCACCAAAAGGCCAAGGTGGTAGTTGGCCCTCTTTGGCAATATGTTTCAGTACTCAAAATTAACGTAAAATAATAAAATGTCCAGGTTCTCACAACCCAGCTATGGTTAGCCTTATACACAGCCCAGTACACTCTATAGTTACAATGTCAGCGTTACAATGTAACCTGGTCTGAGGGGGAAAGAGAACTTGCCTTAAAGAATTCCCCATATAAATTTTGTTGAACCTTGAGTTAAAATTCACTTCTGCTATGCTACTCATTTTTGCTAACAGGTCTCAGATAATCACTTAAAACAAGTCTTGCTTCCATCCCCATGTGACACACTAAAGTAATTATAAGTGCACTCAGTTAACTGGAGTTACGTAATTAAGAGTGACTGGCACTTAAATACAAAAGTGAATTGGATAAAGTCTAATTTATCCAGCTCTTCTCAGGCAATTGTTAGCCTTCTGTTTTGATCATCTTTCTTCAGTGGGGATTACGTTCATTTCCAGTGGTCTCTTTTGAAAGAATACTGTTTAGGTTAGATTCTCTTTCAAAGGTGTTTTAAGTGAAGCAGCTAAATTCCTTTAAAAATGTGGGCCTTTGTACTAGAAGAACAAACATTTCAGCCCCTCTGAAAGATCTCTGGTAACAAAATTGCTGCTGCTCTTGGTATAGCTCTTGCTGTGTTTACTACCCAGGTGATACCTTTATAGCTTTTTGTCACGTGTCTCGTGTAATGCATTTCTATTCCTGCTTCAGAAATCTTGAACATTGTTTTTTGTATGGATTTAAGGAAGAAGTTGTTGTTGTGCTGAATTGAATACATTGTAATTTAATCTCATAAGGCTTATTTATTTGAGTATCATAGCTTTTTAAGTTGTAACTGCACTGCTTCTGAAAGAAGCAACTCCATTATTTCTCAATGGCTCTCTAATATGGATAATTATATTTTGCTTCCTATGTAGCATACTGCATAATTTCTGTAGGATATGGTATCACTCCCAGGGTGCTGTCTGGTAATATTTTTTCAAGCTTCAACAAGGCGAGTTTGACTTACCATACAGCCATGGGAAAGTCTCTATTCTAGCAGCTCAGCTCTTGCCTCAGTTCTACAAACCCCTCAGAAACGTCTGTGGCTACGCTGTAGGTACTAATGTTCTAGTATTCAGAAACAGAGAAAATCACAAATGGAGTTGCCTGTGGTGTGCAAATACCTTCACCTCTACCAGGAGTCAAATAGAAGAATTTCCCCCCGTCATTTACACATCCAAACTAACTCAGAATTTCAATAATCAGTGCCAAGTAAATTTATCATTTAGTTGTACTTATGGCACATCTGTTTTAAAATTCAGAAACTACAGCAGAAGTCACTGACACACATATCTAAGTGAAAAAGAAAACCTAGTTATAACCATCATTTGATGTCCAGCTAAAATTTTGGAGACTGGATGAGAGTAAATCTGATGTGTGTTTTCTGGATTCACTTTGATCCATTTTGTTACTTGTCTTTGAATCTCTACAAGGTTATTGAAAAGACAAAGTCCTACATTTTCAAAAATGATTGGTGATTTAGGATGCCTGACATTAAAAGGGCCTGATTTAAAAAAAAGCCGAGTACCTGTCCTGTGAAAACCATTCCTCCCTTTACAGTGTCTCAAGCTGGGCAGCTCAAATTAGTCACCACTCTTTTAAACTTTGACCGCAGTTTATTTCCATCAGTTACTTTAATAATAAATATAGGAACTCTCTTTTTACATAAACAATATTGAAAGAGTTTTGGAGGAACATTTTAACTATTATTTTAGCAGTTAAACTATAGTTTATGTTTCCCACTTAAACTTACTTGGAATATTTGTTTGCATTTTTTCTAGAAATTGCCTTCTGCAAAAGAAGCACTGAGTGGGTGAGTATATATGGCGCGTTGGACTTTATAGCATCCGTTAGTAAGCAGGAACTGAGTTGTGATGTTTTGTAAATCTTTCTCTTGTTCTGTTTCTCTGCTAGTTTGTGCAAAGATTTGTCTTGTGGGTAAGTCATTTTTACTTTTTACAGCATGTGGCTGGTCTCTTTTCCAGGTCTTGTTGTGGCTTAAATTAATATATGCTTTGGCAGTTTATTTTTAGCAGTAACAGATTAAACTCACCCCAGTGCAATGTAGACAGCCTTTGTGCAAATTGTAGGCAGATTTCACCTGAATGTTTATGATGCTGAGAACATCTCAGCTTGCCTAAGTGGCCTGTATTTCGCCTACCTGAGCACGCCACCTCATTGTGCCTTGCCAGGCAAAATACAGGCTATTTATGAAAGAGGTGAAGAGATTAGTGGGGATCTGCCCTGTCTGCTATGACCTATGTTTGTAGTCATGGTATGCTGACCTGTGAGACACCCAGTTCATACCTGGTAAGTTCTTCATACAGTTGCAGAGGTAGCTGTGGTTGACTCTCCAATCCAAAGAGAAGAGAATGCATCCATTAATGTTATGTTAATATAGTTAGATATATTTAAAAAATGGCTTGGTGAGTATGCTGTGAACAGTTATTACAGGACAATCAGCTGCATGGATCCTGTTAATTTTTTATTGAGTTCTTGCACTTTGCTTTTATGCTTAAAACTCCATGTAAAGTAAGGGCACTTTCTGTAGTAAAGGTAAGTAGCAACTTGTGGAGCTTTTGAGTCACTGAAAGAAACAAAGCAAAATGAAAAAACCCAAAGATAATTGTTCTCATTATCATGGCATAACTGGAAGATCACATTTTAAAGGTAGTAACACAGAGGTGAAGAGTATGGCAGAACTGGAACTAACAAGAATCTCTGAATTCAAGGGAAAGTTCTTCCCTTATAGAGCTAAGCTTTGGTCTGATGAGTACTACACCAATGACTTCCATGGTACTTTGGGAGATGTAAATCTGGTTTGCATCACCACCCAGCTTTCTCCAAAGGTTGTTTAAAGTACATTGATGTGGGTTATATGTTAACGTGGCTTTGTTTGTCATTCATGGTGTTAATTTCACCAGTATGAGTGAGCTCAGCATCACACAGTAAAATTTGTCTCAGTTTGAAAGCTTTTGGAAAAACAAATCTTGATGGGAAAGTTCAAGTTTCAAAAATGTGAAATATCTCTTTATTCTGATTTCTCTCTAATGCTGCAGAGGAATGTGATAGGAATAAAAATAATGACTATAGTCACAGGTCAACTGCATAGCACTTGTATGTGAAGACACATGCAGAATTAAATGTGCAATGTTTCGGTTAATGTGTTTTTACACCAGTGGTTCTCAACCAGAGCTGAGACTATTCGTTGGATCAAACAAGAAGCAGGCAGATTGTGTAGCAAATGAACAGTTCATTCACTGGGTTATGGGAGGTGAAGGCTAGAACCCAGTGCTCCCAGGTGAATGTCTTAGCTGGGCTATAGAGTCAGGCTCTCTGTCTCTGCCAGTGAGTAGTTAATTATTTGTAGGAAGTGGAGCAGCTGCAACTGAAAGAAAATTGACTCTATAGTCTAGTGGTTAGGACACTCATCTGCAATGTTGGTTCAGGTCCTGATCTGAATACAATCCCTAGCTCATACATAGCACTTTTTATCCAGAAATCTTGATGCGTTTTGCCAGAGAATTCGGTCCCTTTATTCCCATTTTACAGAAGGGGAAATTGAGGCACACAATTGTGAATTGACATGTCCATGCTCACACAACAGGCCCATGGAAGAGACAGAAACACAAACTAGCCATTCTAAATTTCACTCCAATCTAGTGCAATCCTGTCTAGTCTAATCTATTCGCTAGGCTATGCTGCCCATAGTCCAGTTCTATTTTACTACAGGTTCCTTTTGTCTTTACGCTTAATATGGCTTCTATTACATTATCCGAATACTTACAAGATCATAGAAAAGTAGAGCTGGATGGGACCTCACAAAATCATTTAGCCCAGCTCCCTGCTCAAGTCAGGATCATCCCTGACTAAACTATCCCAGCCAAGTGTCTGTCTAACCTGCTCTTGAAAATGCCCTGGGCTGGACATTTCACTACAATTTCACTAGGTAGCCTGTTCCAATGCTTGACCATCCTCATAGTCAGAAAGTTCTTCCTAATCTCCAACCTAAATTTCTTCTTCTTCAGTTTGAGGCCATTGCTCCTGCTCCTATCCCCTATAGCCAAAGAGAAAAAACTGTTTCCATCCTCTTTATAATCTCCCTTCAGGAGAGATTAATTTCTCCCTTCAGGGAAGATTATAAAGATAGTTATCAAATCCCCCCTGAGTCTTCTCTTCTTCAGGCTATGTAACCCTAGTTCTTTCAGCCTTTCCTCATGTGTCTTTCTTCCTGGGCCTCTAATCATTGTTGTTGTTCTTTGCTGGATTCTTCCAGTCTGTCCATATCCTTCTTGAAACGTGGGGCCCAAAATTGGACACAGTACTCCAGGTGAGGCCTCGCCAGTGCCAAGTGGTATGGAAAAAGTCACTTTCCTTGATAAGCAAGTGTCACTCCTGTTAATACAACCCAGTATGCTGTTGGCTTATATCCCACTTATGGTCTATTGTAAACGCTAAGTCCTTCTCTGCAGTACTGCAGTCTAGCGAGTCATTCCCCAGTCTGTGTATCTGCATGCAATTTTTTTGTCCCAAGTGCAGGACTTTGCAGTTGTTCTTGTTGAATTTCATCTGATTGATTGTAGACCATCTATCTATTGGACTTATGAATTCAGAGAACATTATCATCTCCATTTTGCAGATGAAAATCTTGAGATGAAGGGTTTGCCTGCATTGTAATGCACAGGTGTGACTGAAGTTTGTGAGTTAGCTCTAAACTAGGTAACCCTACCTTATCACTTGTGCTACCATGTCAATACCATTAGCACAGGGGTGGACAAAATACGGTCCGTAAAAATTAATATTAAGAAAATTAATATTTTTCTGCCCCTGGCTGCCTGTCAAACATGACAGGAGCCAGGGGCAGTAGGATCCAGGGGTGACAGGACTAAGTAGCTGGAACAGGAAGGTTGGCCTGGACCTGGCCTACCTTCAGCCGGAAGCCTCTGCCTAGCAGAGACTTGGAACGCTGGGGCGGTTCCTGCCTCCCTCAGCAGGAGGGAAATTCAGATAAGAAGTGGGGAGGGAGGCAGGGGAGGACTGCGGGTGATCACCCCAGTCCTCAGGACTGGGCTGGGCCACCTCCTGCAGTCCTGGGACTGCAGGCGGTAACCACATAGTGCTAGAGTGGCTGGTGGGGGGTGGGGAGCAACAGTGGGGAAATGGCTGCACAAGCCAGGGAGAAAGGGCAGCAAGTGGGTGTGCGGAGCACAGCAACAGCTGGGCAGGAGCATGGGGCCCAGACTGGTGTTGGGGGCCAAGGGCGGGGCGGCAGGAGCATGAAGCCTGGGTTTGGAGGAGCACTGGTGAGGCTCTGCCTGCTGTGGTGGGGCTGTGGTCAAACCCTCCCCCTCCACTCATGCAAAATCCTCCCCAGTCACCTTTCCCCCACACACGGTCTCCCACAAACCCCATACCCACACATACACAGCCCCCCTCATGCTCCCCCACCCCACACCCACACCCCCCATGCCTATCCATTTCCCCACAAACCCCACATCCTCCCCCACACCCTTTCACAATATATGAGAGTAAGGACTTCATTTTAAGCTTTTATACTATCATCTCTGTGTGCACTATACAAACGCATGTAAATCAGGACAAATATTTTGTGAAATGAAATTAATGAATGTTGTAGTACATGTTTGATTTTTAGAATATAATTTGGTATTTTTCTGGTTCAGAGATGGCAAACCCCCTTGCTGAAAGGAGTACTTCTGGGGGCCAAGAGGAGGGACTTCTGGTGGCAAAGGTCAGGGCTTAGGAGGAGGGACTTCTGGTCCCAAGATGGTGACCAGGGTGTGGGGCACCTGCCAAGGGATGGGCTACCTTTGTGGCCCTCGATGGCTTGCCAAAACTCAGTAAGCGGCCCTCCAGCCAAAATAATTGCCCAACCCTGCATTAGCAGTGCCTGTGCGGCACAATTTAAAGAGAACCTGGGCATGGCTACACAAGCTGCAGTCATATCTGGGTTCGAAATATTACAGTCATAGTGACACAGCCAAAAAAATGTGTACAGGAGCAGGGAATTGAACCCAGGTGTCTCATTTCTTAAAACAGTGCTCTAATAACTAGATAGTCTTTCCTTTACTTATGCTGCCAGTTAGGACCTGCTGACTGCCTTCCAGTTCAAACCTGCTGACCATCTGCACTGTACTCCTGTTACCTTAATTCCCAGTGGCTGTCCAGGCAGACTCTGGAAACTCTGTTGAACTTAGACCCTTGCCCTCCAGCCACTCCAGCTTGCCTCCTTACTCTCATCCTCTTTTGCAGTATGTTTGGAATGCCCTTGGGACTTGAGTACAGAAGGTCAGCCAGCAGTAATCCTACAATAATTGACTATTTTTGACTTCCACCCACTTATTGCCTCTACTGCCCAAAAGTGGAGAAAAGTTCAGAAGAAGAGAAAAGCAGGCTACAGACTGATTCCTAGAAAGGCTGTACTTCACATGCAAGAGGAATAATGTGAATGGCTGTGGTATAGTCTGTGAGGAATGATATGGTCAGCTCCAGTGTCTTGGCCTGATTGATTGCAACTTCAGTGTCGACCATAAGTATCGGTATACATGTACCCAGTGAGACATTTATTTTAAGTTGAGAAACCAAATATTACAGTGATTTTGCAACTCAGAATGTTAGAGACTTGTGCTCAGTTCCCATTCTTCTGCCTAATAATAGTCTGAACAAAAAGAAATTAAAATAATTTTGTGGGGGGGTTTCTTTGTGAAATTTGACCCAAATTTTCCCCACCAAATAAACAGTTGTAATGCATTTGTTGCTTACATTTCATATTTACCTTTGCAGAGAGATATCAATTCATAGTCAATTAAAGTTCAGCTCAGGACCTATCATCATCTTTTTTTAATCAGTTTGACCACAAGAACACACACAAATAAATGAAGCTTGCACTGAGCGTTAAAAAACAAAGTTTTAAAATAAAG